TTCGCTTAGTTGTCGTAGTTCTTGCAAATATTCACCCAGAGATTCTCCAGGTGTTTGTTGAGGAGTAGCAAGACGATGTCTGGCAAAAAATTACATTTGGCGTCTTGACGTCTTCTCTAAAATGTCTACAGCCGAGTCAAATGTCATGCATTCCTCTGTCTTGAAAGTCGTATGAAATTAATTAGGGTTGGGTATTTGCCTAGGAATTTTCACCACATTCTTCAAAAAAGACATTTAATAATATTCTAACCTATGTTTACATTTTTTAGTCGCCGTGGAGGAGTAAAAAGGTCGAGGCTTTTCTTTATGTTTAAGATAATTTTTTTCCGAGTTTGAGGAATCAATTATACCGAATTCATTGAAAATATTGTGCATTAAATTGTAATGAAAGTAAGAAACCCTTAGCTTTAAATAAGCGTTAATATATTAATTTGTCGGTATATTATTTATTGATAAAATTACATCAAGTATACACATAAGGCCGTCAATTCAAAAAAAACACAACATTCTTGTACTAATGCGTGAATGAACAGTGAGAGGAAAGGGGTCAATCAACAAGTGCATAAATTAATGAACATCAAAGAGATAGCCGAAATAAAATGACAAAGACATCTGTTTGTAAAACATGTGTAACTTTAATTAGATGGAAACAAGTAACTTATCTCGTGGTACGAGATTAATGAAAAATGTCCCGCGCCAAAATAGAAAGCAAGATGGCTAAGGCGGGAAAAAAATTTTAAAGGTTCTGGAAAAAGGAAACTTGTTAGACACGAGGTGTATGTGCGCACAGATAGAAAGGAGTTCACTGTGGATCTTTTTTTTGGTGTTGTGTGTGTGTGGCATTTTTATGTTCAGGTTCATAGTTAGAAAAGAATGTTCGGTCGTCTCAGAGTTTTTTGGTGAGGCATTGAATTGGCTGCTGGAAATTTTAACGGATTGCTGTGGGCATCTAGCCAGGAGAAACGAAGAATGTTTTTCATGGTCTTGTGGAGTTTCATGGCCCAGAGAGACGAAAAATGTTTGTTCGAAGGTAATAATATCCCTGTCTGTATTTACTGGTTCACTGACGAGGGGTAAGTGTAAGTCACCTGTTGAACACGAAGTGTTGCCCAAACTGTGTCGTGTGTCTCGAACATTTTCTAGCAGAAAACGGAGAAGGTCTGACCTGCGGATAATAAGTTGTTCGTCAGTCAGGATATCCCTGTCTGTATTTACTGGTTCACTGACGAGGATAAAAATAAGCCATTAGTTGAATACGAAGTTTTGCTCACGACTGTGTCGTGTGTCTCTAACGTCTTCTAGTCGAAAACGGAGAAGGTCTGACCTGCGGGCAGCTTCAAGACGAGAAAGAAGTCTTGGTAAAGTGTGAAGTCGACATTGTTGAGATAAGATATTCCGGTCCGCATATGGGTTCAGGGCACGGAATAAATGAGTTGCCCGTCTAGTCAGGTTGAAAGTCGGGAGGCAACTGGTTTGCAAACGCTGGCCGTTTTTTTTTTTGCGAAACGCGCGGGAAAAAAAAATTCAAAATCTGTTAGTCTGAGTTCATCGGTAGGAGCTAGCGAAGGTTACTGCTATGTCTAGCTGTGAGAGGAAGAAAGGGGTGAAAACCGCGAATACACGCACGAGTGTGAAAGGAAGGGAGGAAACTCGCGCGCGCGTAAAATATAGATGGAATTAATGTGTTAATTCCATACTTCTTCTCAGGTTAATGGTTAAAATGATTTCAAGCCAACGAGCCTTCTCGATGTTAAAGAAAACATCCCTTCATCAGATCTTATAAACTGGAGCTAGCGAACCACAAATATTAATGGTGACGGTGATATTATCCGTTTTCCTACAAGAAAACCTTCTGCATTCATTGACCGAGAAACCATCACTGTTTTCGGTTGAAATTTATAAAATCTTTCTCTTAAAACACTATTTTTTTTGTAGTTAAACAATTTTCTCAGGTCCAGTATCTGTTAAGAACTTTATCAAATAGCAGAAACCAAACTACTTGAAGACGTACAACAACAGTGACATCTAAATGGTTAGCAAGATAATTAAATAATGACGATTTTGAAACAAAGGTTAGAAAGGAAACCCTATCACTATTAAAAACAGTGAGAACAGTTAAATCAGAAACCTGTTTCACTGAGAAACTCGTTTAACAGAAAGAGTTTATAGATTTCAACTGACAGTAATGTCAACTATTCAGTTAATAAATATCGAATATTACCTGTGTAGAAACGGATAGTATTATCGTTATATGTTTATGATTCATACGTTTCATTGGCGAGGCACATCGATCCTCACTGGTTAGCCCAGACTTCGAATCTTGAGTTGCAAAACTTCTAAGCTGTGCTTAGAAAATTACCATAAGCTTCGTCTCTCATCAATTTTTCAATGAGCACATCAAATGCTTCATTTCGGAAAAAAATTGATAATACATATAGGCTTTAGTAATCTGAAATGAAAAAGAATAATTAACACACCAGCTTCAATATTCATTCGAAAGAAGCTATTTCAAATCTTTATTGGGATTAATTATTATACTTAACATTTAATACAAAGGGACACAACTCTAATTATTAACCTAAAATGACTTATCTCCCTTGTCCATTTCAATATAATTCAGTGGGTACGCATTAACGCTCTAGTAGTGATACGTATATTTCACTGAGAAGCACTTAGAATTGTAAGAGGTCAAACTTTTTTTTCTTTTTTGCTTGATGTTTGTCAAGTGCTTTACAAATTCAGACTTAAGCGAAAATTTGCCGTGTCCAACAATCATCTTTGCATACTTCACAATAGTGATTAGATGGAGCAGAGTTATGTTTGGATATTGATTTATTATTAGATAACGATCCAAGTGCTAATA